TAAACAAGAAATTATGTCTGCCTACAGAATTAATCAAAGAGAATGCATGATGATCTTCAAAAGATACGAAACTGGTAGGAATATGAGTCGGCAAATGGTTTGCAGCAAGTGGATTACCATTTCTTACTGTCATCAGATGTCATAGATTTGCATCAGGATGTACCTAATTAAATCTGCTAGCAATTCTGAGGTCAAGTGCAGACTCACCCACTAATTTGGCGCTTTTTAAAAGATTAAGAAGAATTGGATTTTTGTCAATTTCCTTTGACCTTTTTAAGTGAAAATACATCAATGTGTACATGGACAAAGTCAAGGGAGTGCGCAATGCCAAATTTGCCCAATTGTCTGATGTTTTTTAAAGTGAAACTAGGTCGATGTGTACATGGATACCGAGTTGTGCAATTCTTAAAAACGCGCCAAGCAGTGGGTAATTCTGCACTTTACCTGTAATTTTGCATGAGAGATGTGTAAATCAAGACACCTACGAAATTTCAAAGAAAACTCGGCTAATCTTTGGATTATGGTAACTTGGAGATTTTTTTGGTGACCAACCCTGCAACAGCAACCTGCTAGTTTTTGTTTGGACGCCATTTTGTTTTTGTTGGAAAATATAGCTTATTTTTAAACCTTTTACTGCATCATCTCTCCTCCTTGAAATGTTTATTTAGTTTAGTCCTTATTTTAATATAATATAGTAGTTACTTCTACTTCGTTTTTCTTGCTGCCACTGTTTGTATTAAGAACGAACTGTTCCAGCTTAATTAAAATGCAAAAATGAAACTTGATGTTACGTCATCTGAAAAGCCTGAATCGAATAGCTGATTGGTTGCCGTGAGATAACGTCATGTCTACTTTAGGCTATAAGTATCTCGGGTCGCTCTGGCTCAACCCCTTCTAGTTCCTGGTTTCCGGCAAGTGAGTGGGGCAGTTCCAGCCCCTTCAAAAGGATGCATGCAGTCCGGTGAATAAAAATGCCTTGATTCCGGTGTGCGAGATGATGGTTCCAGAATAAAGTTCCTTGGTTCCAGAGGATTTCTACCATGTGAGTGACTGCCGTGGGGTGGCATCCATGTTCTTCAATGAAGATGGCATTTAAAATACGTGAAGCGGCGATTCCTTGTGCAAACGGAGTTAGGCCGTTTTAATTTTAAGTGCTTTCAAGAACTTCATTTAAAATTTCAGGTGTTTTCTCAACCATTGATTCAGGGACGTTTTGAACTGTGTAGCCAACTTCATTTTTAGGCCGCATAATTAACTGTTTAGGACATTTTTTGTTTGTATAGAATGCCAGTGTTTTGGAGACCAGATAAAAATATTTGATGAATGATGATTATATTATATTTTTCCTAATACTCTAATATTGTTGACATTTATTTTTTTTTTGTGTGTTTTTATTCTTTATTATATTGTTAATAAATTGGTTAAGTTCAAAATCTTTTATTGTTTTCAATGTCTGCACAACATATCTCAGGGAGCTTTCATTGCTACTACTGCTAAATGTTTAATTTCTTTAAACTTTGCTTTAGCATCAGTTTTCACGAAGTAAAGGCATATTTTTTTTTTTTTTTTTTTTTTTTTTTACTCAACATTTTTTTCCAACAATCTGCTAGCCGAATTACGCTTATGCTAGAACTTTTATGTAACAAATGTGCTTAATCATGACGAAGATTAGGTGCGAAATTGGGAGAAAGTGAAGAATCGCAAACTGCTTGCCGCGTTATTAAGAATTGCACATACATGGCATCCATGTACACGTCGACCTATTTTCACTTAAAAAAACATCCCAGAATTGCACAAAAATGGCACTGCGCACACTTTTGACTTTTATCCATGTACACTGCTAAAGTCCTATCTAGTAACCTTTATCGCCTTACCAAAACGCCGCCAAACTACCTGTTACCGTATTCCAAAGATTAGCCAAAAACTCGATTATATCATAACCTGAATTGCCCTTTAGGAACACAGCATATACTTTCCAAGTGCAATGTTTGGTTGGATCCTAGCAGAGCCCACACTGGCTAATCTTTGGAATATGGTAACAGGTAGTTTGGCGACATTTTGGTAAGGCGATAAAAGTTATAGCTAGGACTTTAGCAGTGTACATGGATAAAGTCAAGAGTGTGCGCAATGCCATTTTTGTGCAATTCTGGGATGTTCTTTTAAGTGAAAATAGGTCGATGTATACATGGAGGATACCGTGTATATGCAATTCTTAAAAACGCGACAAGCAGTGGGCGATTCTGCACTTTCTCCCAATTTCTCACCTAATCTTCCTCATTATTAAGCACTTTTGTTCCATAAAAGTTCTAGCGTAAGCATAATTCGGCTAGCAGATTGTTGGAAAAAAATGTTGAGTAAAAAAAAAACATGCCTTTACTTCGTGAAAACAAAATGGCGTCCAAACAAAAACGAGCAGGTTTTGCTGTAGCTGGGTTGGTCGCCAAAAAATCATCAAGTTACCATAATCCAAAGATTAACCCCCCATCCTTGGCGTGCCCACTTATATGGCTCGTATCGATGTATACATGAACAAAGTCAAGGGAGTGTGCAATGCCTCTGTTATGTTTTTTTAAGTGAAAAATAGGTCGATGTGTACATGGATACAGAGTTTGTGCAATTTTTTTACTTGTCATTTTCAAGTTAGCAATTGTAAGAAACGCGCAAACCAGTGGGTGATTCTGAACTTTCCCAGTTTGTCGCCAAGGGAGTGAGCTCTCTTAGGATTTTACCCAATGTTTAAAGAAAAGTGTATATGTTTACATATTTTCTAAAAGAAATGTATAAACAGAATTTTGAAAATACGCCGGCTCTACTTTTATATTCTCCCCAAGATCACCAAACGTGGTGATATATGTTCTGTGCTGGTTTTTGGCACATTTGCGGTGGTTTTGGGGACGATCTTGTTTGTATGGCAACCCTTCTGACGTTGAAACTTAACTCTTTTGCTGCAGTGGTTTAATTGCTAATTGGTTCATGCTGTGTGTGTTTTGAAATGGCCTATGTTGCAATGATAGACGTGGTGGCAAGATTTCAGTCACATATATTAGATTGTGTGGAAAGTAAATTTAGTATTAAAAGGTATGATGTTGGAGTTGTTAACGGGTGTGTTTATGAGGATCGAAGTGTATTTTTGAAATTTCTGTGAGACTTTTAAAACAGAGTCCGAACTGTGGAGCTGCTATGAGAAGTCGGACGAAGAAGGGCAATTCTGATAGTTCTTGCGTGAATTTGCAGTCAAATACTTGCTGGTAAAGTATGTGGCTGTCAGCAGAGTTTAAGATTTGGAGCTTGGTTTTTGTGTAGTAATTTAACTTTGGAAGAAGTTTTTATCGTTACGTTCGAAATTTTGAATCGCAGAAAGACGTGATATAGCAAAATTGTGCCTTTTTGTTCACAGACGTTGTGTGACTGGCAAAATGTTATTAATGAATGTATTATGGTAAGTGCATTTAATTTTGTAGAATGTTATGTGCATTGTTTTTTTACTATGAATTTCTGTTGTTATTGTTGTTTTCTGAATTGTTTGTAATTTTAGTTATTTTAATTTATTTTGGTTGATTTGTGCGCAATGCCTAGATTGTGGAATTCGTAAGTGTTTAAGTTTAAACAGAATGCTGCGTACATGGTATTCTTTGAAATTTGTTGTTATTACGTTAATTTATTAAAGCGAGGTGTGCGTAGTATGTAGATTTGTTCGTTGCTTAGATTGTGCAATTCGTAGATTTTTTTAAAGTTAAAACATATCACTGTGTACATGGATTCTTGTCAAATATTTTTGGTTAGAAACTTTACGTTTTTGCTATCTAAATTTTTTGTTTTTGCTTCGGATTTTTAGCTTAAATTGTGTGTTCAAAATGTTCTTTTTGCGTGCGCGAAAACCGCGTTTTTGGAGACATTTTAGGCTTAAAGTTCGAAATGTAGACAAAAATTTAAATAGTAATATGGCACCATGGAGTTTCTCACCAAAAGTATTTGGCAACAAATTTGTCACCAAGCGAGGGCATATATAAGAGTAGTTCTAATACCCCTTCCTATACAAATATCCTCTAAAATACTAATTTTTATAACAAAATTTACACACCTTGGAATGACTGTGATCATATAAAAATTAGACGACTATTTTTAAGTACCTACTATAAAAAAATACACATTCAAACAAACTTATTAAAAAATTGTCATTCAAGCAGTGACAAATATTACATATGTAATTTAGCTTTATTGACAATTCCCAGATAGTTAAAATTTTGAAAACATACTTTAAGAAGTGCCAAATAAAAATAAAGCATGTTTATAGTAATAAATGTGCCAAAAAGAAAAAAACATATCTAATACTAAACAATTTATTCAAAAAATAATTTCTAATTTTAAATTAGAAATGCTTCACATAAAAACGTAACATTTTAAATGTCAAAATAAGTTTACCAGCATTTAATATATAAATTTAAATCCATGAATATTAACAGTATACACTAAAAATCTAAGCAACTTAAAATCTATCATTTCACACTGATAACACAGATCATAAATTGCTAAAATTGTCCACAGAAAACGTACATCCGTACAGGCTACACTCTGACGAATGTATCTGTGTGTATGTTGGAATAATTCAGCGTTAGAGAAATTCTATACATTATTATTTCATACACATACAAGTGCATACAGTTACGTTATTTATATTCATCCCTTTAACAAGCAGCAGCCTCATCTACCACACTAGAAAGGTGCCTTTAATTCCTTCATTTGTTCTCTCTTTATGCATAGCACATTCATAAACACACATGCGCATATGTATTTTCACAAAGTCGTTTATGATTTAATGTACAAAGATGAAAAACTAAAAATCTGCAAAAATAAAAACCAAATTAAAAAAAAAAAAAAAAACTGACGAATCCCTGATGTGCAACTTAAGGATAATTAATATATGCAACAGCGGACGGACGAAAATCTATAACACATAATAAATGAATTAGAAAGTTCGATAACAGATAAATAACACATACTTCCATACATATCCAACAAACACTAAAATTCTATCCTTATGACGATTTTGCCGAAGGGGGGAATTCACTCCCAGTCAATAACAGCGGTATCATAACAGTGAACGTTATTTTAAGCATTAAAATGTTGAATGGAAATTTTCATCAGGCGCTAATATAACATCATCATAGCACATCTTTTCCAACTTCCGTTTCTCTCGACGCATTTTTCCATTCGAAAATTAATAATAGCTAAATCTCAGACATAACAAGAACTTAAAAAGCCTGCTTACCTGATCTTGATCCGCCATATTCAGAAACTAACAATTTATCCGGAAATTCTATATCGATAATGAATCGAAATGCTCTTAAATGATAATCGATGTTTCTCACGAAGTGTCTACATGTCCGACGTCAAACAGTAAATATGCTAAATGTCCGCCCCGTTGCGCAGACACATTTTTCAGAAATCTGCGTCTTAACATACTTTCAGTGCGGCATACCAATCTAGCATTCTAGTTTGTTTCCGAACGTGGTTGTATGGTGTGGTGGCGAGTATTGGTATTGCTCTGGTTTCGGTTGTTCCTGGTTTAAGTTGAAAGTAAAATTCTAATGCTTTTTTCACTTAAGTAAGTAGTCTTTTTAACGATTTCCCTAAAGAAACTGAACTTTTCCCTAAAGAAACTGAGCTCGAGGTCGTAAAAAATGAAGTGGAATCCTGGTGTTTTTCAAGTGCATAGGTGCGCGTGGTTGACTAAACCGCGCACTAGACACCCTATGCCACTTGTTTATATAACAAGTTCGACCTCATCCCTTCATTGACCAACTGTATAGCGTTACCGATATGTGGGGCGCTAGGGTCAAGTCTGAGGCTTACAAAGGCCATAAAGGACCACTCAGTGCTTTAGGTGCCAAGGATTTTTTCATTCTTCAGAAATTTGCACCCTTAACATTCGTTGTGTTGGATGCGCTGGCCCGCTCTGGGCAAAAGATTGCACTTTAAGTGACAATCAACCTACTTGCTGTTGCAACTGTGGAGGCTCTCTTCCAGCATCATTTAAGTCTTGTCCTCGTTACCCAGGAAACAACAAAAAGAGCACTAAAAAACAAGCTCCTAGGGCAGCTGCACCTGCAGCCCCCCCCCAGGGAACCACGAAACCAACAGCAAAAGCGGTACAACAAGCCCCTGAGACTGCCCTACCAAGCACAAACTCGTTGTCTTATGCAGCGACCCTAGGTAAACGACCTACGGAGCCCCGACCCCAAAACAAGGGTCCAAATCCGGCGGCTACGGCGGATGTGCCACAAGTAGCCACCCCGGTTACGCAAGTAGAAAGTGGAGACTCTGAGGATGTTTTCTCCTCTACTTTAAAATGCCTTATTGAAATCTCCCTCGACCCAGCAGTAGATAGGTATATTCTACTGCAAGCCTTTCAAAGGGCCCTGCCAAAACTTAGGCAGGCAGACGCTCTTACGAGGGCCTTCCTGATTTATGAAAGCTATATTATGCTTTCAAATTAGGATTCTTTGGCTACTTTAGACCCGTGTCTTAGGTTTTTCAGAGCTGTAACCTTTTCATATCGGCCTTAAATTCAGTTGTCAAAACAGACAAAGTTCTATTACCAACAGAGCACTTACCATGTGCACATGGAAGGCAAACGGCCTC